GTGGTGGTGTAGTGGTCCGGTGGTTTTAGTGGTGTTTGGGTGGGGGGGGTGGTGGTGGTAATGTTGACGATTTGGTGTAGTGGTAGCGGTGAAAACGTTGTCTGCAAGGTTTGAAATGGTGATTTTGTTGCTAGGAAGTGTTAGTGTTGGCGGCGACGGTGGTGTTGGTGTTGGCGACGATGGTGCGTTTCTATGGAGTTGGTGGTGGCGGCGAAGGCGACGGTGGTGTTGTGTTGGTGGTGGTCACAAATCATTTGTTGATTGTGACCAATAAATTGGTTGGTGTGTGACCAATAAAAAATAAATTGTGACCAATAAATGTTATGTGACCTACAAATTTATTAATTTGTGACCAATAAAAATAATATGTGACATATAATTTGATGTTTTGTGACCATAATAAAAGTTGTGACTTATAAATTTTTAATTTGTAACCGATGAACGAACTGGGACTTATAAAATTTTTTAATTGTGACCTTAAAATTTTGAATTGTAACCAAATTGTATAGATCTGTGACCTATATATTTTTATTAATAAAATATATAATTAATTCATTAAATTATAAATAAATTTTAATGAAAACCTGATTTTTGAAATTTAAAACATCAAACCTTAATTTTGAAATAGTGATACTTAAATACCTTATTTATGTCTTGTTCCCTAATTTAAATTTTAATCTATTTTTGTAAGTGATATTATTTGTCTAAATATATATATTTTTAACAGAATAATAAATTTCGAAGGATGACAGCGGGGAAAGTGGACGGGATCAGTGCTTCCATTCCATCCCTGCCCCATCGGAGATTTTTGGAAGTTGGGACCGGGACGAGATGGGAATTAAAAGTTCTCCATTTATCATCTCATTTAATTTATTATTTATTTTTTGAAAACATTTTAATTGAAAAATATAAAATAAAGTATAACATAGTATAATAAAACAAAAAGATTTGGGACGAGTTCAGGGATTTCGGGGACAAGAACCATGTTCTCCTTCCCGTCCTCGCACTGTTTACTATTGTAGGTGGGCAAAGAATTTTTCCATCTTTGGTTTACTTGAATTAAAATTCATGTTTATATTTAACATTTTATTTTAATTTATAAATATGAGGATGGGATGGGAGGCAGGAATTGTCGACATGTCCCATACCCACCCTATTACTATTTTTAATTGGGAAAAATTCATTTCTCCTACTTTATCTTTACCCTATTTCAAAAATAACAAAACAACTTTCACATTTTAAAAATTAGATATTTTGACACACACACACACACACACACGCACATATATATATATATATAACACTCACCCCTACCACTCCGGCGATCGATCCGACAACTTCTTTGGCGATCATTCTGGCCACTACTCCGATTCCCGCGACCACTCCGATTCCGGTAGCCGTTCCGAAAACTGCTCCGATTCCGAAGATTATTCCGATGACATGAATTTTTTGTACGGTCACAGCACAGGTCAAAAGTCACAGCCCGGGTCACAGGTCAGAACGCATGATTTTTTGCTTGTAATAATTGATAATACAATAAGGCTCATGTCTCACATTTTTATTAATAGTCACATATTATTTTCAAATGGTCACAGCACAAGTCACAAAATATATTGCACATGGCTCACGCTTTTGTTCTTAGTCCCATTTTATTTTCAAAAGACTCAGATTCTGGTTGTAAGTCACAAGTTTATTTCAAATTGCCACAGCATAGATCACAGAATATTTTGCGCATGACTCAGGTTTTTATTGATAGTCATAGCACCGATCACAGCATATGGCTTAGGTCACAGCATTGGTCACATCACATGGCTCAGGTCACAACATTGATCACATAGACTATACAGCACCACCACAAAACCACCACCACCGTCTTACATGCCCTAACTCTAGTACGCCGTTGCTACCACAGCAGGCATCTCACCACAACCATCATCACTAATGTCGCCAACACAGCCTCACCAATAGACGGCAAACCAAAAACCATGACAATCTCCGGCACCAACAATATTGCCGTCACCACCACAGCAAATTATTAGATCCACAAAACCACCACCCCCGCCAACACGACCGCCACCACCAAAATCACTACACAACCACCGCAAAATAAAGATCTAAAATCTGCACAATTGCTACCACCACCGTTTACATAACACCAACCACCACCAATAAAAACAGCCTAAAAATTCCTGATACATCGAACTGAGAACACCACTGCCACAAATGCCACCACTAAATCTAATAACCCTCTCCATTATCGTCGCACCACCACAAACCACAACAAAGAACACAAACCTGCAGGGGCGGCGACAAACATATCGCGTAGAAAGAGGATCTCTGTTCGTCTCTGTTCGTTCAGCATCGAATCGCACCAGCAACGACGCTGCCCTAATTCGCAGCAGCAGCGACACGCAGGCGACAATGCGAATTAGGGCAGCATCGCACAGCGACGCTGCTGCAAGAGGAGGAAGGGAGAAGACAGGGAGGGATGGGGAGACGGGAGGGAGGCGAGGAGGAGGAAGGAGAAGCCACCGCAGGAGAAGCGTCGCGCCGGACAAGCCATCGAGAGAGAGAGAGAGAGAAGGGAGTTATGAACTGAACGTGAAAAATTAGGGATTTAAGTTGGGTTGGGTTGGGTTGGGTTGGGGTGGGTGTATATAAATTAATTTTTATAATATTATTATTAATATTTAATTAAATATAAAAAATCTGTGTCTATATATAAAAAATCTGATTTTTGAAAATTAAAGTATGAAATCTGATTTTAGAATTTCAATCTTCAAATGTAGGGATTGGTGTAATTTTCACTTCCTAATTTGTGGTACTTTGCTTAATCTGCACTTTTTTTTCTTTATAAGGGCTAACCTACTGTGTTGGGCCAAATTAAGTCTAAGATTTGGACCATACAAAGCTCATATGTAATACTTCCACCTATAAGCAGTGTCCTATAATAATAATAATAATAATAATAATAATAATAAAGCGTGGTTAGATGGTAAATCTAAGCTTCAAATATTTTGAGCCTAGGTGTAAATTTTTTATTTTGTTTTAAAATTATTAAATAAATAAAATAATACATACGAAACATCTAATTCCAAGTTTTCAAAAACTAGACAATTTTCAAACACAATTTCTACTTAATGCTAATGCATGCATAATTCATACATAACACAAATTGAAATCCAATATTTACATCCAAATACTTGGAAGAAAAATGAACATGAAGATGAAAAAGAAAGAAAAACAATAATGGACTTTGGAAAAAGACAAATAACATTGAAAAGTTAAGACTCACAAATTTTAAGAATTAAGGTTCAAAATCAAACTCAAAATTAATTAATTAATTAAATTAAAAAACGAAAAAAAAAGTTTGAGCAAAAAATCTCGGACTATAAAATTAGCACAAGGCAATCTGCTTTTCCAGTAAGGATCCA